GAGTGAATGCAAATAAAAAAAAAAAAAAAAAAAAAAAAAGAGACATCGGTATTTGTGTTTTTTCTCGCTGTGACTGATTTGGATTTCTTGCTATTGAACGTAAAATCGACTTTACCTTTTTGGATTTATGGAAAGTTTTTTTTCTTCCACTTCCAAGTTTTTCCGTGTCCACCCGACACTCATACATACAAACATACATATATATATATATATATATATATATATATATATATATATATATATATATATATATATATATATATATATATATATATATATATATATATATATATATATATATATATATATATATATAAATATATATATATATGTATATATATACGTATACATACACATACCACATACATACATACAGAAGTGCGTACATACATATGTATACATACACACACAGTACACACACATACATGCATACATACACATACATATGCATACATACACATGCACAGATACATACGTATATGCACAGATACATACGTATACATATTAAAAATGAGCGTACGTATATGCACAGATACATACGTATACATATTAAAAATGAGCAACTTTTTTAAATAAATAGTAATACATTTAATATAATACACTATAATAACCCATAAATAGTAATTTATTAAATTCAATAAAAAGACCTATGATTTTTAATAAAGTGCTTTTAAAGTCTTTATTTTCATTAGTAAAAAATTAAATGTTTATATTTCTAAATGATGACATTTTCATTCCAATTTTTTAAATATCAGAGGCAGTTTTTAAAAGCAAATTTTTTATAATATGTTGAGAACATTCCAATGCTAATTAGTTATATATTTTTGTTTCACACGCGTCAAAAAAAGGTAAAACCATGGTTAAACTATGTGTCTGGGGCTACACTCCAATTTTGAAGCATCTCTTTTTTCTAACATATATATATATATATTGGCATTGACACTTTTTTATTGTTAGTACATGTGTACAATCCTTTTTATAATTAAAATTAAAATTAGAAATTTAAAAAAATCAAAATTATTTTTTTGAAAACATTTAGACTATGTAATACAACACAGTTTTATTAAGAAAAGCGTTCCATCGCAAGCTTACTCATATAACTATTATTTTTGCGCTTATGAGCCCTCATCATATTTTTGTTATAATGCCCTTGGTAAATACGTTCAAAGTCTAATAAATCTTAATGAAAAACTTGCCTTGCTCTTCGGAGTAAGCGCCCACATTCTCCTTGAATTTGTCGAGATATGAATCAAGGATATGATCTATTAGAGACATTTTGCATACTAAATGAAATTACGTGAAACCTCCTTAAAGACCCAGGAGGATTTGAAGGTGACATCGGATAGGAGGTCATCGGTGTCATTGGACATTTGAAGTCACTGTTGACCTCCCATAATATTTTCATGTAGACTAATTAATCAACTAATTAAATAATTAGATAACTAATTAACTAACTAGTTAAACTTAGTGCACTTTTTTTCTAAACAAGAAATCCAAGTTCAATACCGATCATGTTTTTGGTTCTAAAACGCTTATCTTTTTCTCTGTACAGTGACCTTGTTTATCAAGTTCACACACACATGATATATCACCCATAGTTATCATTTGACAAATGATAAGGTTTTTTTATTAAAACCAAAAAAAGAATGTTGACTATTTCTTGTCCACTTGAGTAATAAAAGTTTCGGCAATTGACAATTGTTCTCATTAACAAAAAACAACAAAAAACTTTCAATTCTCTATCTCTTATCGTGGCCCCTATTTATATAACAAATTAATTCCAAAATATACCTTAATTGCTCTTCCTGACAATGTATTTTCTTTAAAGTCAAAACTTAAAAATCTTGTTCTTAATATAAATAACTACGTAGAATTGTTCTAGTTCACATGAATCAAAATGAACTTAAACAATCTACGTGAGAAAAGTCGGATATATATATATATATATATATATATATATATATATATATATATATATATATATATATATATATATATATATATATATATAAATATATATATATATGTATATATATATATATATATATATGTATATATATATATATATATATATATATATATATATATATATATATATATATATATATATATATATATATATATATATATAAGTCGGATTTATATATATATTCATTTCATTACAATAATATTTAAAGTATTTGTGCATCAGAATCACTATGTTTATGTGTATCTTGCATAATACCCCAAGGTTCTAGATCATAAGACTTCTTCAGTCTTCTACGAGTTCCCTATAACAATATAATCTATCTTAACAAGTCTTTCATAATATATTCAACTAATGCTTCTTAAAGTTATTTTTTTTAATTTTTCCTTATTTTTAAACTGAGTGTTATTTTTTCTTTTAAATTTATTTTAGCAGAATTTGATTAAACGTAATCTCTTGTAACGGAAGTATATTTTGCTTATATTATGATGTGAAAAAATTGTAACAAATATGACAAATTGTAACAAATATATTGCAAACAAAACCAGTTTAAGCAGACCTCTAATCAATATTCTAAAACTTCTTGGAACTTTCCTAATGAACTTAAATTAACTAAAATTAATACCTTTAAATAATTGTAATAATCATTCGGAAATTACCAACTTTAGACCAAATAAATACTTTTTATTTTTTCAAAAATTGTTGAAAGTGTAACTTATACTAGAAAAGATGGTCACTTCACAAATCACATGATCACTTCACTAATCACATGATCATTTCACATATCACATAATCACTTCACTAAAATTAATTTTGTCAAAAGTAATTTGCATTTTAAAAAAACCTTTTAACTGAGAATGCAATCCTTAAAAGCCCAAACTTTTAAATAAAATTAACTTTAAGAGTATTTATGGATCAAAAATATTTGATACATACTCCAATATCCTATCGATAAAGGATACTACAATATCCTTTTCGATAAAGTAAATCAGTACGGGATAAATAATAAAAATTGTTATTACAATAATAATTTTTTATGCTTCCGTAAAACTGAATTCATTCAAGTTTGCAAATGAAACAAACCTATTTTTTACTAACAATAATATCAAGAAACTATAAGGAGATATGAACTTTGAACTGATTAAAGTAAATACTTGGTTTAGGGCTACAAATTCTTCTTAACGTTGAAAAAACGGACTATATATTGTTTCATAAAAAAAAACAAGAAAAAATAAATTCTTCTTGATGAACATGCCCTGGCTTGTTCACAATTCCTTAACACAATTACTTAATGAATTTCTTGATTTACAAGTATTACCATTATGCTTTGAGTTCGGGCAGAATTATGATAAAAAAACTTTTCAAAAAAAAACGGTTAAAAAAAATCATTAAGAAAATCTAAATAACTATTTCAAAATGCTGGAAATATTTTGAAAAACGAAAACAAAATTGATTATTGTCGTCTAACATAAGAAAGCAATTTTCAGAATTAATAAATTCAAGAGTTAACAAATCTAATCTAAAATCAAAGATGTTTTATATACTTTTTAGATATATATTCAGTTTTTGGCTTCGTTAGCTTTATAGCCGAAACATTAGTCTCGGTTTCTATTTAGCCAATTTCAGTTTCGGCAAATTTCAGTTTCGACTTAAAACTAGTTTCGGTCGTTCACTAGTTATAACCTTTTTTAATGAGTTATAGTATTTCCCAGTAAGTTCAGAACGTTTTTTAAACGTTTTAAAAACGATCTGTGCTTACTGGGTTGGTAACCTTAAAAATGTTTTGAGAAGTTTACTTTATTTAAAATTGAAAAGTTCATTTTTATCTGATGCTCTCTGAGTTTCGAAATAAAAATTGCTCACCTAAACTCTACTCAATCTATAGCTGCACATATGTAAATCGATTTTAATTTAATGGCTTTTGTATAATTGTGTTATTATTTTTCGACCCTTAAAACAGCGACCATTTCTCCGCCTTGTTTTTAATTTTAAACTAGACGTCTGTTAAACATTGAATTAAAAAATTTATTAAAAATTCATTATAAAATTAATTAAAAAAAAAAAGCTGAACAAATTTTATAGAATCTGCTTTGTAAACATTTTCAATTTTTGGTCACGCTTTCGTTTATATTTTTGTGTACTTTTCATTTGTTCTTTCAGCAAGATGACGTTTTTCACGTTTGTTTTATGCCACGCTTCACAAACTTTTCTGTTTTATAAAATTTTCTTTTCGGAACCAATTTGTTTACAAATAAAAGTTATTTTTCTTGAAAGCTTGCAACCTTTGAATAGCGATCAAAATTTTAGCAAATATTTAAAAAGTATTTTCTTTTTTTTTTTCTTTTTTTGCACGTTACTTTTTTGAGCAAAAATTCAAAAAAACATTTAAGATAATTTGTCATCACTTGTTTTACATAAAAAAAGATAAAGTCTCTAAGCTTTTAGGTCTTTTTAAAAAATCATAAATTTGGTTGCCTCTAAAATATTTTTTTTGATTAATTATTAAAATTGTTCTAACTAATAAATATTTTATTTTATTTCGTAAAGACAATAAAATATGTATATATATATATATATATATATATATATATATATATATATATATATATATATATATATATATATATATATATATATATATATATATATATATATACATTTATAAACCTATTATAAATCAAAATTTATAAATCTATAAAATAAAGTTTACATAAAAAAATTTAATTACATGCTAAATACAAAACAAATTAAATATTTTAACACAAAATTTTTTTTTTTATGTGATGCAGTTTTAAAAATATTTCCACTCATATTTATATAGATTTACCCGCCACTCGCGCAACGTACTCGCATTAAGCATTATTAGCACTGTTATTGTTAACAATATTTTTCTAATATTAAAAAAGTTTAAAACTAATTGTTTTGTGATATAAAAACTTTTAAACGTTACAATTAATAATTTTATGTTATTACGTAATTGTCGTTGTTTCTTTTAGTTTTTAAAATGTTGAGGAAATGTTGAATAATACACGTTTCTTTTGATGTTACAAAGTTGATGTGATTTAACAAGATAGACTTACGAAATATTTATAAAAACTTTGAAATTTCCGTCTTTTGAAATTTATATAGATATTTGATTTGTTTCTTAAAAGAAGAAATATAGACAATTAATTAATACCTGAGTGGCCCATGTACGACTGTGTTTACAATAAAACAATGAACCTGAAATTCTTTTGTTTAGGACACGTTTTCTCGTTCATATGACGACCGATCAAGGTATAAATAAACCGGTCAAATTCATTTGTGTTAAAATAGATATTCTAGTAATCAATTAAAGTTTTAATATTTTATAAATAAGAAAATAACTTTAACTGAATAAAATAAAAAAATGGAGACAACTGGAATCAATCTTCTAAATTTTATGAACAGTGCAACTTCCAGTGTTCAAACAGTTCTTGCAAAGCCGAGTTGTTTTAAACGTAATACAAACCACCGGAGATTTTTACAAAAACAACTTCTTCAGCACCATAACGACAAAGATTCAACAAGTTTGCGCCTAGCTACAACTAACGCTGTGCAAAAACCGAAACACAGAACTATAAAAAAAATAAAATCATTGACTACTAAGCGCAAACCAGGAATTTGGGAACAAGGTTGTGAATTTTCTCATCAAATAAGAGTTCCCTCACCAAGTATGGATTACCTCCAATATACCGAGCTTGAAGAAGCAAGTTTTTATCAAGAACACAGCAATGTAGATACTAATACTCATCTCAATGATCAGCTTGGTCATCGAGATGATGGTCTCGATGACCAGCTTTATTTTGAAAGAAATTTACAAAACCAATACCGAGTACACCAATACGAAAACAATGAAAATTTTTTTAATGGTCACACTACCTATAACAATTTTTATCACACTACCTATAAATTAGGACAAGAGGAATTGCCTCAGCCCCATTCACCAACTTTATCACTGTCGTGTTGTTCATTATTCTCAAAGAATTGTGAAGAGTCTCGTTTTGAAAACAATATTGATTACACTGATTTTTTAACTGGAGAAGAGTTAGTAATGACATTAAAAGAATCGGAGTTATTTGTTCCTGAAATAATATACAATGAAAACTCATTAACTATTAACACAAACACAGAAGATTATAAAAACTTTTTTTTGGGCGGCGACGTACACTATGGATACAACACTGTATCCGACACTTGCAACAGTTTGTCGAACGTTGAAGATTGTTGCCGATATGAAGAAACAACGCCGATATCTGACAGAGTATTAAATACTTCGTTTGATTTTGACTTTTGGTAACATTCTTTTTTTTTCTGAAAGTTTTGCGTTATTTATATGTCATTAATTTTGCGTTTTTTATATGTCATTAATTTTGCGTTTTTTATTTGTCATTAATCGCAAAATACAAATATGCTGTAAAAATATTTAGTTCTTTTTTTTTAATGTATTAATTTTCATACAAACTTTTTTTCTTTATTTTTTTACTATTTCTTTAAATATTTGCAGCAGTTTAATAACCTGCAGTTAATAAAATGATTAGTTCACTATTTTAAACAACCTGCAATTCAAATGTTTTGTTCACCTTTTTTAGTTCATAATATACAAAATTGTAAATAATAAACCACGTTTTCAGAGAAGAAACAATTAAATTATTTTGTTAAATTGGTTGTTTTTCTTTTTTCTTTTTATCTACAATCACATATCGCAATAAAATGTCACAAATAGTTGATTGATGATAATTTATTAATGTTGACTTAAGGGAAAGGCGCCTATGATGGCATACTTTACTTTGAAGTTTCATTATTTAGTATCCTGAAAACCAATAATTAAAGTTTTGATATGGATACATTCCTTGTTACAAGTAGAACAATAACAACCCTCGGATTTTTCATCAGTTTTGTTTTTTTTATAAGTTATTCCTATTTTAAAAAAAAAAGCACAAGTATGCCATCATAGGCAACCACTGCAACTAAAATGGGATAGGGGAGGATAGGCTAGTTAAGATCAAGGGTAACTTAATAATTTCATTTAACCTTTGAGTCTTCCCTCAGATAAACCAGAAAATACTCGGAATTATCCTAATTTACCATTTCATGCTACACAGCAGCATTGTTTCGCGCATACGCATAGGATATACTGCGTTTTGTGCATTTTTTAACCAAAAAAAAAATTTCGGAGCATCATTTTCTTTTTATTTTATTTAAAAATAAGTTTTTCTTATAAAAAAAAAAAGGTTTTTTAAACTTGCCAATATTGCAAGACACCCAACTCGTCAGTATACCATCATAGGAAGAAGTCATCATTTTCGTTAAAACAAGCTGTGTCTGCCTTATTTTAAAAATAAAATTAGAGTAAGTATTCCACTAAATGCACAAAACTTGGATATAAAATGTATAAAAATTTACTTCCTGCACAGTCAATAATAAAATCACAATCTTAAATATATGAAGGGAATAAAACTACTTTAGCACATCCCAAAATCAACTTTTGCTGATTATAAAAACAATATTTGTGCACAAAGGACGTATTTTCACCAAAACTAATGTAAAGTCAGTATAGTCATTTTGATCTAATCACTTTTTTACCAATACCAATTTTTATGGAAATATGACCGGAATGCCATCATAGACGCTATGCCATCATAGGCGCCTTTCCCCTACTATATTTAGATGCATACATACATATGCAAAAGAATTTTTTTGCATCACATTTATGCATCTATGCAACCACTAAAACAGGGAAAGTATTTAGAATGAAAAAATTAAAACACGATAATATATTGAGTTTTGTACTATTCTAAAATAAGTTGATATTCACTGATATATTTCGAATTTGATCAAATAAAATTTAAGTGTTCGAAAGTTATAACCATGTCAAGTTTTTGAGCCCTTCAAAATGAGGTGTCTGGAAAGCCTTTCAAAATGAGAAATAATAAAGTTAACGTCATAATTTTTGGTAACTATAATTTGATGAAACTTGAAATCTATGAGAAAATACAAATTTGATTTAAAATAGTAATAATATGAAATATAATATGTAATAACATGAAACTTAGTAAATTATTGCACTCAAATTTGGGTTTGAGGACTCGTCTTTCTCAAACATAAAAAAAAAAATTAATTAGACCGAAATCAACTGAAAAGCATTTCCTTAGAACAAATTACAAAAACAAAAAACAAAAAAAGCAAAAATAAACGCGTTTTTATACTCTCGAAATTTCTGATATAATACTTATTAGATAAATAAAATAATAAATAAACTTACTAAATAAATTTGATTTCTTAATTTAAACAATAAGTGTTTATTATTTTACCTTCAATTTAATTTTGTACATTGTTTTAAACATCTGCAATTTAATTTTTATATTTTAAAATCTTTGAATGTTTAAATGTCTAAATATGTGCGGCCGTGGCGCAGAGGTTAGAGCGCTTGCTTTATAAGTAGGAGATCCAGGTTGGAACTTTGGACATATTTCACGTCACGGTAAGGAAGGAGACGTTAACTTCCTGGTTAAATGCACTTCCGCGGTGCTCTGTGACAAGACCATTAGGACTTCTTGGGGCACCTAAGTAGCAAAAAAATAAAAAATTATAAAAATAAAAAAATTCATTATGAAGTAGAACAGTTCAAACAATTTATTTTCTTGCTTTAAATTAATAGTTTATTTTTCCTATATTATGAATATAAAAACTATTAATATTTTATACAACTTTGACGGATTATTATCACTTTTTGATGGGTACTTACTTGTTGACGATTTTTTTAATATTAAAATCACATTAAACATGTCAAAACTCTCATGAGATGAATCTTTCATCCTCGTTTATAATTTTATTCTTTTCAAAATTTAAGTCAAAATTAAACTTCAAATAAAAGTTACTTGAAGTTTTTATTTTTAAACTTTATTTTTTTTGAGTTGTACAATTATTTTTAAATATTTTTGCATGAATCATTATTAAATTAAAAAAAACTGTTAATAAAAGTTTAGAAAAGACCAAGTATCATAAATAAAAATTTGCTGATATTATGTTATTAGATAAGTTAATTATACTATTTTTTTTAATTTACAAACCATTTTTTATTTATCTATTTCAAATTTATTAATTTATTTTTTTATTTTTTTTACTTTTGAACATGAATGTTTGTAATTGACTGAAATTCATTTAAGTATTTAAAGATGCTTAAAACTGAAATGTACAACTTTTTCTGCATAGCTTTGTTGTTGTGTTTACCAAGTGGACAATTTATTGCGTTTTTTTAGAAGGTAGCAATCGGTTTCTAATCTAGCATCACATGCTAAATAAATAAAAATAAAATTTCTAAAAATATCGTATTACTCTGTAAAGCAAAACCATACTTAGATCAATCATGATTGAAATACATATATTTCTCATTCCTATTTTAATTATGCAAACAGTGCTTGGTGCAGCACCAATAAAACAAAAACAAAAGAGCTGTTTAGGAAACAAAAACCAGCAATTAGATTATTATCAAATGCACACCAACTCTCACATTCAAGACCATTGTTTAACAATCTAGAAATGATAAATTTGTACCAAATAAATAATATCATCTTTTATGTATAAAACTAATAATAATACAATACCATATTTGGGTTGAACAAAATTGTTACCAAGTAACAACTTTGTTCAACTCAAAACTATATATGATTCCACCAAGTTCTTAATAACTATTAGATGACCAATGTATGGAATAAGATAATTGTTAATGATATTAAAACACTTACAACTCTTTAATAGTTTAAAGAAAAACTAAAACTATTACTTTTAAATAATGAACAAAAGAATTATTTTTAAAACTCTCTATAAAAATATTATATTTGGAAATTATCTACTAATGCATTCTTTATTTGTCTGGAAAGGTCTAAAGTCTTTAATTATATACATTATTGTCAATTATAATATAAAAAAATAATTAAAAAAAATAAATGTTTTTGATTATAAACTTATATATATATATGTATATATATATATATATATATATATATATATATATATATATATATATATATATATATACATATATATATATATATATATATATATATATATATATATATATATATATATATATATATATATATATATATATATATATATATATATATATATATATGTATATATATATATATATATATATATATATATATATATATATATATATATATATATATATATATATATATATATATATATATATATATATATATATATATATATATATATATATATATGTATATATATATATATATATATATATATATATATATATATATATATATATATATATATATATATATATATATATATATATATATATATATATATATATATATATATATATAGTATCTTATGATTGTAAACTAACTTTTATGTTTTCTTTTTTTATGTTTTTGTTTTTTTTGTTTTTTTTTATTTTCTTTTTATTTTCTTGAATGAATTTTTAAAATTATTCTTTCAATGAATAACTCAGAAATTTGAATATATATCTCATTACATGACCGTAAATTAACCTTCGTGTTGTTGTGATTAAGTTACTTCCTTAACTTTTATTAAAAATAACTTTGAAAGACTCTATTAAACTATTTTGCAATTTATATAAACTTTTTGGAAACATTTTGCTTTTTTTCTCATTTTAATTTAGTTACAACGTATTTATATAAATGTCTAGAAAAAACAAAGGATTTGTTGATAAGACAGACCTGTCTTCTTCTTGTCCTTGCCATCTTTATATAAATTATAAAACACGCACTCTATAAATTTGTTTTATTTTTTTGTCTCAATTTAACCTGTTTGTACTTAGATATGAAGTTCTTATTGGTATAAATGTTTATGAAATGTCTATAAAATAATAGTATATAAAATATAAATGTCTATCAATAAAATAAGTCTATTAAACGCCTATGTAAGTTTATGAAACGTTTATATAAGTCTATTAAAAATAAATAACAAAATTGCTGAACTTAAAGCTTCTTACGCCGACTTTAAAACTACAGTAGTAAAGAACACAGAAGTTATTACAAAATCACAAAACTCTTTAACCTCTCCAAAAATAAAAAAACACCTGAAAACACTGAAAAGTTAAAAAAATAAGTTTGATGACCATAATAACAAAAATAATAAAAAAACACTCATATTTAAAATTGTATTTTTTGAGATTACCAATAAAAAATTTTGGAATGACAAACACAAATGTTAAAGCAGCAAAATAATGATCCAAGATTTGCTGACAAATCCTAGTAATGTCTTTGTTAAATTTTTCCAATGGTTTGACATCAAACGCACAAAAAACCAATGGTTTTTTGTGCATACATACAAGGTCAACTTAATAATAAAGAAATATTCAAAGAAAAAACAGAAATTTTCAAAAAGTTAGGGGTGGGGAGGATATCACCCACTATGCCCCCCTGTTCCTACTCCAGTATATATATACCAATGTACTTTTATATATACACAGTATAATTGTGCGTAAAACATTTATAATTGATAAAAACTTTATAAAAATGTTTTAAAAAAACCATGAGCTAATAAGTTTTACTTATCAGCTGATAAATTTTACTCAAGGATGCGTTCAATTGGATGCAAAATTATATTTGTATATTTCGTATTTCTACCAGTAAGTATTTTGTTCATAGGATGGCG